AAACCCGGATCGAGTAGTATTCACCCTAGGATCGACCAGGTGTCGGTCAAAGCGAGCTGGCGGCCGCTGACTCGGCCAAGTCAGCAAATGCGTACATGAAATCGTACAAATGGACCAAAGTGAATCCCGTGTGCAAGTACTTGGACCATAGTTAGGGTATTTTGAAGTAGTGGTACCAAACTGTCACCCGGCTCAAGTTTAGTGACGTACAGTGAATTTTTCTCGTTTGCTAATGGTGAGGTTGAAATAGATGGGTGTCTAGCAGTGAGCGAGAGACTAGAGATGAAGGTGCCCGATGTTGGGAAAAATTTCATTTCGCGCGATTTTCCCTTTCTATAGTTCAAGTAAATTCAATCAAATTTTGACTCTAAATTTCTTGGAGATGGTCTGCCGCTCCCTCTCTAAACAAATATAAGAGCGTTTAGATCACTAAAATGCATAGCTTAAAAGTAGGTGTTCTATGCAAAATCAATCTCGATAGTTGATGGTTTGTGCAATTTCCTTTATGGGCGAAGGTCAGCATGGCATCATTTTCATTTAGTTGCATATTTATTTGTTTATTGAAAAAATTGGTTACTGTTAGTAGAACAATTCTTGGTCGAAACCTTCTCTCACCCAAGCAAAATATGCCATACCCTTTGAAACAAAACGAGGAACATACTGTATCCCATGAAACTGCATAGAAATGAATGAATAATACGTAATAATCATCATGCATTAATATTGGATTGTACCAAGAACCATTTCATGAATAATTATAATTTCAGACGTTAATCGTTAACTGGACACACACACAGAGAGAGAGACTTGGGGAGAAGCGAAGAGGGGTCAATGTTCTAAATGCCAGACAAAACCACCCAAAACTGTTCTGGCTGATATGGCTCCACTGGAGTGAATTTGGGGTGATTTCTATACTTCTTTCTCTGACGTTCAATGTATCTCCTTAAACTGTTTTTTTAGAGATGATATTCATGGCGAGATATACAAATGTCTGTATGGTAACTTCCGCAATCTTGAAGCTACACAACTCCAATTCTTCAGTTTACTTTTATTTTAAGTTTTCAGTTTACTTTTTTTAATAGTTTGAATTGCTTACCACATGTGTCTCGTGATAATTCTTTAGTAGACCTTTGTGGATGTGTTCATAGCCTATGTTATACTCAAAATTTCTCATACAAATATTACACCGCATTATCCATGCAATTGGGGATTGGCGAAATTCTAACAAAAAAGAACTAAATATATACAACATGCATGAGCAGGACCTGTTCACGAGAGCATCCCTAAATATAAATTCTCCTAAATCGTCTCATCTTGTGCGCTCTTCTGCTTAATTAAGAGTAGAACTTGAAGGTCTTGGCGTCAAGGATGATTTGGCGCAACCCACCGATGGGGGACAGCAGCATCAGCGCAACTCCGATGGCGATGAATATCCAGTTGAGGAACCATGTCACGCTGTATCTGGCGGGCTTGCGCAGCATGAGCCAGATGATGCATGGCAGGAAGTAGGTGGTGGGCGCGAACGCGAAGCCTCCGAAGAACCCGAGCAGGCCATCGAAGAAGGGGAAGGTCATGCCGACGAGCATGGTGAGCGCGACGTAGGCGGAGCGGGCGGTGAGGCGGAGCGGCAGGCCGGGGTTGAACTTGAGCTTCTTCACGAGCACCGTCTCCATCATGTCGAACACCGGCATCGCGAACACCTGGTAGCTGCCTATCACGTGGACGACGACCATGAGGTTGGCGAGGGCGATGAGCCACCGCGGCTTGTCGAGCGTGATGAGGATGTTGGGGTCGACCGAGTTGCCGAAGGCGTAGTACCCGCCGAAGGCCACCGAGAAGTAACAGAGCGCGACGATGGCGTAGGCGACCAACACGCCGCGCCACATAGGCTTCTTGGACGGTTGCTCCGGGGTGGACGGGATGGTGGCCTGGATCTCGAGCACGACGTTGTGGCCGGCGAACGCGAACGCCACCGCCCCGAGCGCGTTGAGGGCGCCGAACACGTGCCCCGCCGTGGTCGCCGCCTTGAGCCCGTAGTCGACGGCTCCAACTGCAGCAGGGTGTTTGTGTAGCACGGACGCGAAGAAGGCGACCATGGAGTAGCAGATGGACATGACGGCGGCGGCGGCGGAGACGCCGGAGATGGAGTTGAAGTTGGGCATCTGGGAGAGCAGAAAGTGGACGGAGCCGAAGATCATGATGAAGAAGGTGAGGCGGATGTCCCTGCAGCGGCCGTTGCAGACGAGGTCGTGGAACTTCTTGAGCGACTGGCCGCCGGTGACCATGTAGACGATGTCGGTGCCGACGTCGACGACGAGCTGCTGCGGCACGATGATCCAGAGCCCCAGCTTCTTCCCGAAGGCGTGCTGCCCGAGCTCGTGGTAGCGGTCGAAGCGCTTCCCGGGGACCATCTCGTGCATCTCCACCATCTGCCACAGCGTGTAGAGCGTGATCCCGAAGGAGCTGGCGATGACCGCCACGCCGGGGCCCCAGCCGAGGTGCGACATGGCGAACGGGAGGCCCAGCACGCCGGCGCCCACCATGGCCGTCACATTGTGGAAGGCCGAGTAGTACCACTTGGCGGTGCGCGATGACGTGATGGGGAGCCAGTCGTCCAGGCTCTTCACGTCCTTGAGCTTCGCCTCCGACTCCCGCTCCTTCACCGTCTCCACGTACTCCTCCATGATATCCAACTCCGACGACGGCATCATTCCTTCTTGTTCGACCACAGGCAGTTCGATTGATCGATCGACCTCCATGACGAAGCTTCAAGCTAGCTAGCTGCCTTGGATTGTTCGATCGTCGTCGTCGTCGTCGACTTGCTCTGTGCCTCTTTTCGATCGCGGTTGGTGAGTTGTGGCAGGTGGGTAGCGCTAGCTTCTGCCTGCCATGTATTTGTAGTCGCAGCAAGCGCCAAGAACGTGGGAGGCTTCCGGTCTTCCCAGCCCGCTCGGATTCGGCATGCAACCACGACACGGCTCAGATTATCGATGGACACGTCAACGGCACAGAAACGGATTTTGTGTTGTCATCGGACTGAGCAGCTTTGGAGTTTGGAGTGCGTACGTACGGCAGACAAGTCACAACTTACAAGACGTACGTTACGCTCGTTTACAACAAGTCGGACTAGATTCCTACTAGTATGTACTGCACAATTCTTCTACGTACGTAGAAACAAATCTCATCTACTCCCTCCGTTCCAAAATAGGAACAGATGATCCAATTTTATACTAACTTTAGTAAAGTTAGTACCAAGTTGAGTCATCTATTTTAAAACGGAAGAAGTACGTGTGTTATAACAACGTTTGTACGTGCCACAATTTCATCCTCGATCCTGTGTGATGGTGACACGTATCTAGGACAGGGTCCTAGGCCTGACCTATATACCCTTCCCAAGGACATGACACAAGAAGCACTTGGTCAGGTCTTTGAGGTCATGAGTTTTATCCTTCAACTCGTCTTTTTCTTTTGGATTTTTACTCGCGCCTTACAAAAACAGGTTGTTACAATGTCTGTTCCTTTCACAGCCCACACAACTTATCGGGCTGAACTACCTGGGTAATAAGACAAAAACATTTTAAATAATCACACATTGCTCCTTTGAGACCGTGCAGGAACCACAGTGCTCTATGGTCGGCCACACCACAACCCCGACGCGCTCGGGGTCCATCGAGTCCGTGCGGGAGGAATGACTCACGACTGTCGGGGGAAACCCGACAAGCAAGTCCGACTGCAAGAGCGACAATGACTCTGCTACCCTGAAAGGGCCACTTTGGTTAGTGCGACGTCCGGCACACCGGCCCCAGGAAGGGAGTTCCCTGGCAGTGCGACGTCTGGCACAACGACCCCGAAAAGCGCTTCCTCGGGTTGTGCGGCCCCAAGAAGCTCGACCCCGACAAGCACGACGTTCGGCACAACGACCCGAGGGAGTTCCCGGGTAGTGCGATGTTCGACAAGTCATCCCCAGGAAGGGAGTTCCCGGGTAACATGACGTCCGACACGACGACCACGGGAAGGGAGTTCCCAGGAAGTATAACGTCCGGAACTACAACCGCAACAACACCAATGCCCACAAGCAAGCTGGTTCTCGGGTAGTTCGTGTCCCCGCCAACAGCGCGGTCGGACCTGTTCGATGCCAACAACAACGTTGGCGCTCCACACAGGTTCCAACACCTAGGAGACCTTCTCAGTCAGCCTGCGGGTCGAAAGTAGCACCTCAAGATCAAAAAGGCAAAGCAGAGAGGGCATACGGGCTGCACGAAACCTGAGAAGACGGACATCCCCGCGAAGGCACTTGATTGTGCCAGGTTCCAGGAACTGCGCGACAAAGTCGGGATCATGGACATCAAGCTCCTTTGACAACTTTGAGGGGGAGATGGTTCTCCTTCGACAAGTTTGAGGGGGAGATTTTTGAGTCAACCATGGTCTACGGATGCATGCATGCAGCACCAGCGGCAGTAGCTTCCTTGGCTTGTAAGGAAGTGGTGGTTACCTAGTTGTTTCCAAGTATTTCACTTAGCTGGTGGAAGGAACTTACCTAGAGGTTTCGTTGGTAGTATATGGTAGTTTCGCGTGTGCTGTGCACGTCCAGCACATAGTTGGTTTAGAACCACTATATAAGGGGCATGCAGCTCCCCATTGTTGTAAGATATGGCCATTTTCAATCCAAAGCAAGCCAACGAGCTACTTTCAGGTTCAAACTAGCAGTACGAGCAGCTCCATGTTAGTGTATGCATGAGTGTGTTCTGCTAGCTTTCACAATCTGTAATTTAGGCTGTTTCTCTTCTGCTCTGTCCGATCCTCGGAAGCATATAGTCGGGCTAACAGAAACAACCTGTTTCTAAACCAAAACAAGGCAAAGCATAGCCGAAAGTCCAAAATAACAAAACAGAAGACTAGAGAAAGCAGGAACATTTATTTAGCAAATATCATAGCCCCGTTGTTGGTGGGTCATCAAGGTCACTATCCGGCCCAGAGTTCAACGAAGATTTGCCGGCCCTTTATGGCATCTGTTGCGAGGCGAGTTGAGAATCCGGGATGTTGATAGTGTAGCTGGAGAGAATGTGGATGATGGTGAAAGGACGGTCGGCCACCAGGACAAACTGCTTGTCCTGCCTTACGAAATCGTCTGATTCAAAGATCCTCTCCACTTTCTTGTCCGCGATGTTGCATTTGTATATGAAAGCGGATGAACCCAGATGTTGAGTGTAATAGACGCAGTTCTCCTCGACGCCTGGGAACTTGTCAGAATCCACAGCTAGACACCTCTGATGGCCAACGAAGATGGCATATTTGCCGATTCTCTGCACAAGCATAAGTTGGTGTGTCGCATTATCGAATCTGAGAACACAGGGATAGTGGATTCCACTTGGCTTGAAGATGAGCAGCATGTGTCCAGCCAGACCAACTAGGAAGCCCCGGTCGTAGTTGCCATGGCCGGAGAAAAACTTGAGAGGATCAAAACGATAGGTCCCCAAGAAGTTGTAGATAACAGTGAGCACACCCTCTACGTATGGATTGAGGTACGTGTAGTGCTCACCATCTAGGTATGGATTGAGGTACGTGTAGACGCCACCACCTACGGCCGCCTTGAATAGGAGATCATAATCTGGCGAGGCCATATGGACGGTGGTGAAATCCTGGTTGTCGGGACCAGCCATGTAATGTGTGCGAGACGAGTTGCCGACCAATATGAGCGTGCGCAGAGATCCGCCACCGGAGAGGACGACATGGGCAACCCCCACGTCGGGGGGCACGGTCATCGCAAAGCGGACGACGACACCGGTGAGAGGGTTGAGGACGCTGGCCACGTGAGGAGGGCTTTTGTCCGCCAGGACGACGTAGCCGCTGTAAGTGGTCGCCACCACGTAGTGTTCGCTGAGCAGCGGGAGCTTCCTGTGGACGAAGCGGCCGGTGTCGGTGTTCAGCAGGAAAAAATCCCCCTCGCTCTGGAAGACCTGGTCGAGGACGATCCACCGCCGCGGATGGAAGCGGCGGTCAGAGGTGTTGTCCTTTGGATCGTCGGTGGCAGCACGCCAGCTGGGGCAAACGGCGCGGAAGTCCACGTAGCAGTCGACGTCGTTGGTGCCGAGTAAGGATTCAGCGATGAGGCGGAGGAGTTCCGGTGGGAGCGTGGACCACCTGGAACAGTCTTCAGTCGCCATGGCCGGAACCGCCGGATCTTCCTTCATCCTTTTGGCCAGCGGAAGAACAGGGGTGGCCAAGGGCGTCGGAACCTCATCGGGCGCCATGGCCGTCACTGCCGCACGCTCTTGCGACATCAACGCACCTCTAGCTTTTCGACATCACGCTCTGATCCTCCCTGTAGAAAAGCAATCTCAAAATACACAAATTTGTAAGCGGGCAGCGTGAAGGAATCTGAGGAGAAGTAGAAAATCCCACAAGAACTGGAGCTGGATTCGGTTACCTGCAGATCTACAGAGGAAATCAACTAGCGCGGCTGCACGGACGGTCCCGATATATTTGGGGCCGGAAACATCGAAAAAACCAGGAATAAAAGCACCGATGTACTGTTCGATCTATATCTCGCGCTCGAGACTCTCACGGCACCTTTTAGATCCCGCAATCCTCTCTTTTTTTCCTCCTCCCGAAAACCCCGCACAGTTTTTTTCTCGCGGTACGATTTTTCAGATTTGGTACTATTTAATTCCCTTCCTTGTGCGCCGTAATTAACACGGATTTCTTTCTTCTTTCTGGTTCTAAACAGAATTAATGCATGCTGTTCTCTTTCCCTCCCATTTTAAACGCAATAAATATTTATTTTAAACGCAATTAATATTGATCTCTTTTTTCAACTAAGAGCAAAAAAATCAAAAACTTGGTGCACAACATAGGAATCAAACACGCGCTTGTAATTACTCCCTCCGTCTCAAAATATAAGAACGTTTTTGACACTATGCTAGTGTCAAAAATGTTTTTATATTTTAGGACGGAGGGAGTAATTCATATGAGATTAAACCCAAAATAAATAAAAAGTGAGACGGGGCCCACTAAAAAGTTGAACCGGCAATCTCACCGGTTTGGCTTTAAAACTATGCGCTCAAGTTTCATCTCACATCATTTAAACTACCAAGCCAATCATGCATGAATCTTAAATTAGAATGTTTATGCTTGACCATGCGCGCATCCGGATGATCATGCATCAAGCAGGTGCCTCAACAACCAAGTACACTACAAATATTTTATGTATGATTACTAACTGAGACCAATAACACACCCAATAACTTATGTGTAAATAACATGATAATATATGCATAAATACATGATAACTTGCGTACAAACAATGTAGTAACTTTGACCCAGGGAAACAGTTGGTTGAGACATCTCCTGATAACTTCTGCGTAAATTACATGATAACTTACAGACCTAGTAATTACATACAAATGCCGTGATAACTTTGCCTCAGATAAAAAAAAGTTTTTCAAACATACTTCCCCGTAAATTCTCTGTAAATACCATGATAATAGATGCACCACTGACTTGATAACTTACTTACACCACGGTAACTTTGACGGAGGGGATTATTTTGTTGAAATATGTACCGGCAACTTCTGCGTAAAAGACATGATAATATATGTATCGCAGACATGATAACTTATGTATGAGCACCGTGGTGCTTTTGACCGAGGGTTGGGAATTGTTGAAAACTTACCTCGACAATGTATGTGTGAAAAGCATGGTATTTTTACGCATTATATAACTACTCGCGATCTAGTTATCAACCTTACTATGATATTTTGTTACCAGGTTGTTTCAACCTCATCGTTCTAAAGTTACTATGCTTCTCACGCTTTAGTTATCAGCCTTCTAACGATATAGTTAGCAACCTTACAATGATATTTGTTAGCAGGGGGCTAACGTTGAAGTTATCAACCTTATCATGCTAAAGTTATCATGGTTTTCATGCTCTAGTTATCAGCTTTCTAATGATGTAGTTATCAACCTCACCGTGCTATTTTTGGTTACCATGGTGCTAATATCAAGGTTATCAAGATGGTCTTGTCATACTTATCACGCTACTTATGCCAAAGTTACCAAGCCTAAAATTTAACTTTTTTTGCTAATTTGGTAGAAAGAAGAAGGGTTCAAATATACCTATTTATGTAAACTGGACAATAAGAAAAATGGTGAGTTGGTTACTGGACTTAGTAGCTACCTAGGAGACCAAAGTTCAAATCACCATTGAAGCCTTTTATTTCTTTTTTCTCCCCTACCTAGACTAACTCACATAAAACAGGGCGAGTAAAAAAATATACAAACCAGGGTGAGAAAGAAAATCAAGGAAGCGGGAGGATCGATCAAAAGACGTTCGGATATAGCGCTAAAACCAGAACGTTCGAAAGTTGGCAAAGTCCTACATTATAATTTGTTTCCTCTTTTTCCCTTGCGGGCCTGATGTTTGTCTTTTTTCCCATGAGAAAGCTTGATGTTATCTTTCTTTATCCCCTTTTTGAATTCCTTATGTTAGCTTTTTTAGGGTAATGCTAAAAATCTGAGGTCAAATTTGTAAGCATGTAAAATCAAATGTTTTATATTGCATACTATGTTGTTGCGAGTATGGGATTCTCTTTAGCAAGCATGTCAAATCTTGATTAAAAAACTCAAAAGGCAAGGATTTGCTATCTCTGACATTCAATTTGCCATGCTAAAAATCTGCTGTTTGATTTGTAGCGAAATCTATTTTTTAAGCTTTGATTTGCTTCCTAATAAATGTTTCCAAGGATAATACATCCAATCTATGTTTCCAAGAAAAAAGCCATGTTTTTGAAAATAATTATGGATTTTTATTTGTTTCCAATAAATAAAGAAATGTATCAAATTGTTATTTTTGTCTAACAAGCAATAACTAGCAGAGTCCCTTACAACTGCGTTGACAATATCGACAAAGATAACGAGCGAACATGCGGCCACTCGGTCCGAGTGCATGACGAACTCCATGTCGCTGGATTTGGTTTGCGCATGCCGTGTAGGTTGAGTAAGTTGATATCATGCACGAGCTGGCTACAGATCATGCACATCACGCCATATCATCGATCCTCTATCAGTATTCTATCTTTATATTACTACAGATAGGGTCACGACACAATTCGTAACCTTATTTCACACGAATAACTAAAATGTTAGCATGTAGTGATAGACAAGGGGTCATTGTCAACGACTCAAAAAAAAACGTGTGCGATAGGGTGGTCTGTGCACATAATTTTTTTTAAAGAAAGCGTGTGAGATGATTCAACAATAGCACACGATCTAAATATGAAACCGTTTACTGCTAGGGAACTATAACACACGTCACTTGGGGAGAACACAACCTCTATGACAAGCAAGCTCCAAACAAAGTATGATATGCAAAAATCTAATTCGCAAGCCAACAAGCATACAAAGTAAGTAAAAGGTACGGGGAAGGGTTAGCCACAACTGAGTCTGGAATGTAGATTTAAAACCAAAGTTCACTCTTTGGGCAGTGCTAATCTTTGTTGGAGCGATGCCAAAGCCAAATTTTTGGGACGCCGCCAAGTTGCTCACTGTATTCTCCCTTAGATTCACCCCCAACGGATGAGTCTCGGATCACTCGAGGTTGATCTTGAAGGCGGCCACACCACACCTTTACAAACTTCTATAGAACACATTACAAGCAAAGAAACTTTTGGAGGAACCTCTGCCGCCTAGAAGACCAACTCCATGAGTAACAAGTGTTCATGGATAAATCAAGTGGGGAATGTGAATCGCTTTGGTGGAAGTGTAGCTCGGTTCTTGCTCTCTCAAATACTCCCTCCATCCTGTAATATAAGAACGTTTTTTACACTAATGTAGTGTCAAAAACGCTCTTATATTATTGTACAGAGGGAGTACCAAAATATTGGAGTGTTTGGGTGGAAGGATTGAGAGTATTGAGAGAAATGGAGGTTAGCAATGGTGGAACAACTCACAAGACATTAGAGTTGAGCTGGAGGACAAAAAAGGTGCTATTTATACCCACTTCAAAAAATCTAGTCGTTTCCCCCTCCCCCCTAGAGGCTCCATGCGCACGGTGTCACCCAAGAGAATTCCCCATACCCCGTGATGGGGCAGAGACCTCGTACGCACGAGGTGTCCAGAGGATTTGCACTCGACCCCGTGGACACAGGGTGCCAGGGATCATGCATATGGATTATCCAGACAACAAATCCTGTGTGACGCCCCCGATTCAATCGTACACTAATCATGCACGCAAATGTGTACGATCAAGATCAGGGACTCACGGGAAGATATCACAACACAACTCTAAAACTTAAATAAGTCATACAAGCATCATAATACAAGCCAGGGGCCTCGAGGGCTCGAATACAAGTGCTCGATCATAGACGAGTCAGCGGAAGCAACAATATCTGAGTACAGACATAAGTTAAACAAGTTTGCCTTAAGAAGGCTAACACAAACTGGGATACAGATCGAAAGAGGCGCAGGCCTCCTGCCTGGGATCCTCCTAACTACTCCTGGTCGTCATCAACGGGCTGCACGTAGTAGTAGGCACCTCCGGTGTAGTAGGGGTCGTCGTCGACGGTGGCGTCTGGCTCCTGGACTCCAGCATCTGGTTGCGACAACCAGAAAGAAAGGAAAGGGGAAAAAGGGGGGAGAAAGCAACCGTGAGTACTCATCCAAAGTACTCGCAAGCAAGGAACTACACTACATATGCATGGGTATATGTGTAAGGAGGCCATATCGGTGGACTGAACTGCAGAATGCCAGAATAAGAGGGGGATAGCTAATCCTGTTGAAGACTACGCTTCTGGCAGCCTCCGTCTTGCAGCATGTAGAAGAGAGTAGATTGACGTCCTCCATGTATCATCTTCAAGTAGCATCTCCAAGTAGTATCTCCAAGTATCATCTCCAAGTAGCATCGCATAGCATAATCCTACCCGGCGATCCTCCCCTCGTATCCCTGAGGCAGAGCGACCACCGGTTGTATCTGGCACTTGGAAGAGTGTGTTTTATTAAGTATCCGGTTCTAGTTGTCATAAGGTCAAGGTACAACTCCAAGTCGTCCTGTTACCGAAGATCACGGCTATTCGAATAGATTAACTTCCCTGCAGGGGTGCACCACATTCCCCAACACGCTTGATCCCATTTGGCCGGACACATTTTTCTGGGTCATGCCCGGCCGCGGAAGATCAACACGTCGCAGCCCCACCTAGGAAAAACAGAGAGGCCAGCACGTCGGTCTAAACCTAAGCGCACAGGGGTCTGGGCCCATCGCCCATAGCACACCTACATGTTGCGTGGG